GTATGGTGGAGCAGAGTGAAGAGGAGGAGGAAGCAGTTGAGGAGGAGAAAGAGGAGTTGGAAGGAGGGGGGGGGAGGGGGAGAGAGGGGGCTTAGCAGGAAGGGGGGTGGCAAATGTGGAAACCCTTTTCCTTCATATCATGGAAGCGAACCAGATGTGTCAGAACCCCATCGAGCATAATATCTTTTTAGAAGGAATTGTAGGGGTACGAATATTGTACAATATCTGGCTCTGATTCATGGCTTCTATTGCAGCTCTTGTGCCACTACAGCTATCATGTAACGAGTGAATTGTAAGTTGTGAGGCATAGTCCATAGTTTTTTATTTTTTTATTTTTTTATGTCTTGTTTGTTCAGAGAAGAGCAGAGTCGTTATAGCATTGGAATAGGCAGGTAGGGAGACTGCAGGTAAAGGAAAGGGAGACATGTGGGCAGTTGAGCAGTGCGTAGTTGAGGGCAGAGATTGCATGTGCCTCTGCCCTGGGCCTGGGGCTTTGTTTGTGGTCCCCACACAAATGTTAATGGCGCAAATGTCCCACAGTGGTGTTCCTGATACGTGTCCCATTTTTTTTCAAGAACTGAACTTTCGCAGAACTTCAGGTTTCAAATTGCGAGTTTTTAAGGTCCGTCGGTTTGCAGGATTTTCTTCGCAAGGGGTTGGGCCCGGTTGGCTTCGCTTGGTGGTGCTGTGTGATTGTCCTCGTACATCTCCTTTTTGTGTTTTCGAAACTTTTTTTTTGTTTGCATCTCGCTTCTTCTTTTCTTCACTTTGGCTGATCACTTGTCGTACTAGATCTCTCTCATTGAACCCAACACTTTTTTTTTTTTTTTTTGGGACCATATTCTCGATTTATGCGTGTCATCCTTGTGCAGGGACCATGCTAATCGTCATCCTCTGGATCGTTCCAATTTTAACGGATGTCCCGAAAGACAATGAACTCGAAACCCTAAACCCTAAACCCTAAACCCTAAATCCTAAACCCTAAACCCCAAATTAGACCCCTAAGCCCTACTGAAACCGTATACTTGGAACCCCACAGAACTCCTCAAGCCACGAGTCCTAATGCAGGCTCTCTCACCCACATTCTCCCTCCCCCCTTTGTACTCCGAATCCCCCTTTGTCGACTTGCCCGCGATTATCTACACTACTATAAGAATCACTATTTCTTATCGCACGGCCTGAATCGCAGGCCGGTAACGCGCCGCGGACGGCCCAGATCGCAGGCCGATCAGAAAATTTTCTGATCGGCCTGCGATCTGGGCCGTCCGCGGCGCGTTACCGGTGACGGCCCAGATCGCAGCCCGGCGCGCGCCGAATTGCAGGCCTGCCCACCCCTCGAATCGTGTCCCATCCCTCCGCCCGCCCGTCTGCCCGTAATCGTGGCCCCCGCCCCCAAAGGTACCGTTTGGTACCCGAAGCGCCGAAGCGCCCGCGCGCCCGTTTTTTGGTTGCCGGCCCGCCCCTCCAATCGCCCGCGCGCAATGTTGTTGCCGCCCACGGCACTTTCGTCCGCCTTTCTCAACGCGCGCCTTTGTGCTCCGTGGTCGGTGCGCGTGTGCTCGGTGGTGCTCTACGGCTCTCTCCCTCTCTCTCTCTCTCTCTCTCTCTCTCTCTCTCTCTCTCTCTCTCTCTCTCTCTCTCTCTCTCTCTCTCTCTCTCTCT